TACTCGGATACCAAAAGCGAAGAAGTTTTGATCCTTAGGGCGATCCACGCCTTGACATCGGCCATCAAGTCATCTAAATGGACGTAACCTCTATCCTCTAGCCATTTTTCGATGAACGGTTGACGAGATAATCCATAAAAGTTTCTGCTGGTGAATAGGGCAGATTTAGGGGCAGATCCCATTTCTTGGTTGGCTCTGGCTAATTGTTCAGCCGCCGAAAAGTTACTGAGATGGCGGAATGACTGTGCCACCTTCCAATCCTTCTCGAAGTAGTTAAGCCTAATTTCGCGAATTTGCGGATGGTTTTTTGAGTATATTCTTGTAGAGGAAATCGAGCAGATCATTTCTAGAAAAAACCCGAAGTCAATATTCAAATTCTTTCGAGAGAAAAAAAGCCGCAAAAGAATCCGCAATAATAATGCATCAACCTAATAATAATAATAAGTGTAACAATAACAACAATTATAATAATGATAATAAATAAATAAATAATAATAATAATGGCATTTCAATTATGTTTTTTGTCCGACTGTTGTTAGAAGGAGTAGTTTATAGTTTCTACAGTACTCCTTGGCTGGAGTAGGTCTTCAGCAATCCAAAACCTGATAGTCATCCCTAAGAATTTGAGAAGTGGCGAACCGGCACTATTTTGCGGGTTGTGGTCTAGTAAATATGTTTTACGAAATTCAGACTCTAAAAAATCCCGAAGGATTGAATCCCGAAATCCCAAATTTATTCCCTTTCGAATCTCTAAGATATCGTCGACGTTGCATTTTCTCACTTACCCTCCTCCACTTCCATCTTCAGGTTGCTGAGTTCCGATGTCTGGCGTTTTCTAAGCCTTCTGAGCCCTTGTTTCGTTGTTTCACTGCAAAGCTTCAGCTCGATGAGCACGAGATGGCCTGGCTTGTGATGTCATGTGCTGGCTCTCGAGAACGCAACGGAGCTGGCTTCCTTTTCAAGTACGGTCCCTCCAAGCTGTTTCCTTGTACTTTAAAGTTTGAAAAAACATCGAGCTTGGGCCGAAAAGGGAGAAGAAGGGAAGGCACCACAATGACGGTGTGATGATTGCCCATTATTGAAGGTTATTCTCTGGAATGTGGTCTTCGCGATTTATTCCTTCTTAAACTTCTCGTTCACCAATATTTCAACGGAACGGTTTACGATCCTTCCGCAACCATGAAGCGGGAAGTAATGGGAAACTAGCCGACTTGAACTTTCACTCAGAGACCTTCCCCCGTTGTTTATTTTTTTATTTCAAAATTTGGTTAATTATGCTTTGC